AAACCATGTTGTATTTCCAGGCTTGTGTACAGAAAGATGTGCCTTGTTAAAACGCAGAGATACCACCACATCATGCCACATAGCGGTGTAATGTCAGTTTCTCTGGCACAATCGGAACCCAGACTGAGCTTGGCTGTGTGGGAAAGTCACTGAACAATGATGTGCAACTTTCCTATACACAGAGAGAGCAATTGAAGGGCAAATGGACTGACACCAAACCAAATGGACTCCTCTGAGTCTCCAGCTTAAGAATGCAACAGTAATAAGCCTGTAAGTAGGTTGCCTTGTCTGCATCTCAGTAGTAAAATGGTATGTGACCGAGATGAACGTGAAGAAAAGGAGAATAAATAAGGAAATAGTTGTTAGGAAAAAGAGAATGAGCTTTTATTCAATTTATAATGATTTGGAGAGGTCAAACTTAATTTATATTTTAATTTCTAAATTAATAATTTGATAATTGTCTTATAAAATCAGTGGAATTAATTTTGGAGATGAAATATTTAATATGGAAGCTTTGCTCCCAGTCCTCCCGACTGCCTTTGATATTCTCTCAATGCCTGGAGTTACAGGACAGTAAACTCTTTGCAATATAAGGAAATGAAAATATTGCAAATACAAGTCAATTTTAATTGCTTTGAAGACTGTGAAATGTTCCAGCAGAATGGTTTATTTATATTTATATGTCCAATATCTGTAAAGTATAGCAAATTTGGTTGTCCACAGCAGCATTAAAAATAATATGATGCAATTATTTTCTGACAGTGGGCCAAAATGCTGTTGATTTTAGACCAGTTTGATGACAGTGATTCCTTTCTGCTGCCCTGCTGCGTAAAATGAACCCGACAACTTTGCACAGTGAGGCGAGAGAGAGAGAGAGAGAGACGAAGAGGCTACATCATTGACTTTCAAGCAGAATTAAACCTTCAAGAATAATGAACATAAAACTGACACTTTCCAAAGATAATTCAAAGATAATTAACAACTGAAACAGATTGTCGGGAAAGATTGTCGAGGCCAGCATGATGGACTCGTGTAAAATAAAACATCTTGATGCTGTGATGGGGAGATGGTCATGTGGGTATTCTGGAAGGATGATATCAAGTGAGCTGAAGGCCTCCCTCTGAACCGATATTGTGGTCTTGTGAAAACAAAATCTAGCTGTGTCTAAAAATAACTAAAAATGAGAAATATGACGGCATTGTGGGAGAGGTCCGTGCACTGTTTTTCAGTGTAAATGATTTTCATTGAAACATCATTTAAATGACAAAAATGTCGAAATCGGCTAAGCTTGAAGCTGAATTAAATGTTACTCCAGCACTGGTTTAGATAGGGATTCACTGGGTGGGGAACAGTGGACATGAAATTATCAATTTTAAGTAGTTAACCACCACTGCACTGCAGACAATCTTGTGTGCCAGAATTTTCAAATTTAACTTGAATCATTCTCATTGTAATGCAGTATCTAAGAGCCAATTACGGTATGGTGGTTTATTAAATTGAGGTGTAGAAATATCTAAATGTCCCATGCCTTGACATGAAAAAAGCCTAAAATAAATCAGAAACCATTTTGGATGTTAAATAACTTGAAATCAGAGATAGTGCCATAAACTGAGAGCCTTACGGGAGGTTACTTCTTTTGTACTTCCCAGTGAAAAATGTAAGCAGTTTTCTATTTTTTTGATACATTCTTCACAAATACTGCACTTGAATACTGTGGCAGATTATGCCAAACAATATACAGATTCCACTTCACGAGTCAGCATTTGAAATTGTGCATCATTGAACCTCTGCACGGACTCAATAAAATGGCCAGCCACCCACCCACCTAATTTTTAATTTCCTGAGCTCTATCTCTCTCTCTGTTGTGTATGAGTACACAAGGAATGACTCACTCTCAGCAGATCAGCCTCTTACTTTGAAACACGCATTTTCTGTTCTCCCCAAATGCTTTCACGGTGAATGCAGACATGTTTCATGTGAAATTAAAATGATATGGTGACATGAGAACCAACTTTAAAATGTTTAAATTTCAGACAGCTTCTGATTTACAGGAATGACAGTACCACGTGTGAGTTCATATACAATCAATCAGTACAATATTTTTCTGAGCTGCTCAGTCATTTCTGATGATGAGCAATTTGTTTGACTTTGTCTTGAACTTTCCACTTATTTAGAGCATCGACTCACTTTATAAAATCATGCCGCACCATGTAAAAACAGTTTTCATTTTGTATAGCTTTGTCGATTGTCAGTAAGTTTTAAAAACCTGTACAATTAATTGGTAGGACAAGTGTAATTGTTAATGTTATGAGTGACATTTAACAAGTCTGTACTTTCTCAACACAGCACATTCCACTGAATATTTATATATTTAGTGGAATAGTTCTATTGTAAGCTTGATTACATTTTGTAAAACTTAAAATAATCCCTTTGTATTTGATATGTAACACAATACAATTTATATAGTGCCTTTAACTAACAACAACAATTTGCATTTATACAGCGCACCTCATGCAGGGCAGCACCCCAAAGTGCTTGATAGTGGAGGAGCATGATGCTGTCCTGTGGTAGGGAAGATATCTCAAAGAGTTTCACTTGAAGCAGAGAGGACTTCATAAAAGGGAATAGAAGGGGAAAGGAGGAAGAAAGGAAAGGGTAGAGATTCATGTGGAGTATGAACACCTACACTCAGTGGTTGGGATTTGTGGCCTTTTTCTGTGCTCTATGATCTTTGCAAAGCTTTGTTTGCTTTAAACAGCTGGCTTCTACTACTAACAATCTGCATACAAAAACCCACAACCGAATGAAAATAGAAGTCAGCTTGGCTCAGTTGGTTATACTCTTGAATGTTAAAGAACTCATGACACTGTTCAAAAAAGAGAATGGATTTCATTCCAGCCTATAATCCTCCAATTTCTAGGTCATTCTCCTCATGGCTCTGTGTGGGACATTGCTGTGTGCAAATTGGCTGCTGTGTTTGTCTACAAGACATACATAACCACTCTGTAAGTGTTTTTTTAATGTGATAGGGTGCTATGTCAAACTCAAGTACAGTATTATTATGATAATATTATATTAATATATTATCAAAAATGCCTTGCACTGCCTGTTTTGAACAGCAGCTTCTTTGCTGCCCACAGGCAGTCTGAGCCGGTTCCCCAGCCAATGACATGCCATAAGTTATCACTCTGGTTGACTCGAATACAAGATGGAAGGAGGTAGTAACAAAATGTTTAATTAATAATATGAAACACATTAGAGTACCTTCGTGAAGAATGAGTAAAAACTGCATTTATATTTTTAGAAGTGTTCAGCTCATTAAAGAAAAATCAATAGAAAGAGCTGAAATTAATCACAATCCTTTCAGTTGTCACCTTGGCTCAGGTGGTAGCATTTGTTTCAATCCCAACTTTCTTTGGGACTTTGAGTTCATTGTCTATGATTGTTACAAAGTAAACTCATCTTTGTGTCTGCCACTTGAAACTAATATACTTCTGCCATCTAGTGACGAAACTGAATAGACAAAGAAATGAAACCTCAGAGTGAAATAGTAAAGTAGAAAAATAGTGAAATGAGAGGTTGAGACGCCAACAGGCTACTCTCAGTATTGAACCCTCAGTAGTTTTCTGTGACATTGTTGCCCAATAGAGCACTGTCAGTTGCTTGGGACCGGAAGGTTCTTGATTCAAATTCCCAAAACCCCATCCGTGCCTTTACATTCTTCAGGTGGGGGAAAAGTTGCTTAAAAATAAATATGTTCCTGGGGAACAGTGTGCATTCAAGAGAACCTTCCCATCAGGGAGTGGGAAATAGAAAGCTATGGGAAGGAATAAAGGAATGGTTGGAGACTCGTGTAGAATATAAACACCAGCACGGACCAGTTAGACTGAGTGGCCTGTTTCCAATCTGCACATTCTTTGTAACCTTAATAAATTTTTAGGGGTGGATACAATGACATCCATGATGTGTATCCAGGCTTGTTTTAATGGAATTCTGAGCTTGTTGTTCCCCTAGTGTTAAGCCAATATTCTTCCCAGTATCATAGCCAAGAGTCCTCCCGTAGCCAAATGCATTAAAACAGATTAATTGGCCATTCATCTCACTGTTTCTGGAATGTTGTTGGCTCTAACATGGGACATCCGTTTAACTTCTCATGCGAAGGACGGCACCTCTGACAATGCAACACATCCCCAGCGCTGCATTGGAGTATCAGCGTAGACAACAAGAAGATTACATTTGTATAGCGCCTTTCATGTCGGGAGGATGTCCCAAGGCGCTGGACAGTGTACAGCATTTCAGACCCGAGTAGGGTCAGGGGGAAAAGGTAGGGGAGGGGAAGGGGATTGGCCGATGGCATGGTTGAAGAGGAGGGTCTTGAGGCGAAACTTGAAGGAGGCTAACGAGGGAGCGAGATGGGAGTGACTGGGGAATGGAATTCCAGAGGTTGGGGGCAGAGCGGCTGAAGGCTCTCCCGCCAATGGTGGGGGGCGGGTGGGGCGGGGGACGTGGAGCAGGTTGGAAGCCGGCTGAGCGGAGGTAGGGAGCGGGCGGGGATGACCTGGGGGCGTGAATCCACAACTATTCTGACTCAAGAGGCGCGATTGCTACCACTGAGCCAGGCTGTCATACACACACACACACACACAGAAATATATCTATCTATATATATATACACACACAGGGTGATTAAAGTTGTGATACCATGACAATATCTAATAAATCTTAAAAAATATATATATTTTCGTTTTGTTTTGGGGGCAATAGGGTAGGAGTGAGCACGACTTTTTGGCCGCCCTGTGCAATAAATAAATAATACATCTCGACGTGTTTGCAAGAGGTACAGAGAGGTACAATATACACTGTAAGAGGTACATCTCTGTACCTCTCACAAACACATGGAGATGGAGAGCTACACTGTGCAGCAGCAGCAGCAGCAGCCGGTTCCTGATTGGACGAGCCGGAGCCCGGCGCGCCTGCGCAGATGCGCGGAAGACCGGGCCGGGCGAGGGGGACGACGACGGAGGGATCTGCGCAGGCGCGGATTTCCAACATGGCGGAAAGGCCGGAGCTCTGGTGTCTCCGCGAGGATCATTTCCAGGAGAAGTTCAACTGGGACAACGTGATCACCCTGACTTCCATAGACCAGGTGAGAGCGCCTCTCTCTCTCTCTCCTCCCCCCACACTACCGGGGGGGGTCGAGGAGAAGGAAGAGGTGCAAGTGGGGGTTTGTAATCCGACTCCAGGGACAGGAGAGACAACAACAAACAGCCCAGACAGAGCCCCCCCCACCCCCAAGGCCAAGGCCTGGGACAATCACAGCAGCTTACATTGTTCACCTTTATTCCCAAACCCTCGCAAAACCCAAACCATAATTAAATTGGTCATTTTCAATCTGCGGCTGTTTGTGGGACATTGCTGTGCGCAATCGGCTGCCGCGTTCGCCCACAAATACGCAGTCAATTCACTCTACGGTGTGTTCTGTGAAGCGCTTTGGGACGTCCTCCCGACGGGAAAAGCGCTATATCAAATGCAAGGATTATTGTTATTATTGTTATTGACACAGCCCCTTGTCGGGCCGTTGAGACGTCTCGGAGCGCTTTTCGCGGGCCCCGCGCCGTGAAGGCGTAGAGCGACTGAGTGTTTTGTGGGGGCGAAAAGCGACAGCCAGTCGCGGCGCACAGGAGTGTCCCAGAGAATTGTTGACCCCCCCCCCCAAAAAATTTTTGAGAATAAGACCAGTTAGTGCAGTACATCATCGATATTGGAATGTGTACTGTGGGGAAGTCCAGAAACGTTTAGGTGATGCTAAATCTGTAAGGGTCAAGTGGAAAGATGGAGATGTGAATGAACGAAGATTGAATAGATTGGTTGAAATTAAAAGTCGGAGAGAAGATAACACGTGTGAACAGGTTTGGAAATCCAATAGCACCTCAAAATGCTTACAGGTTTTAGCAGTGTCTGAGAAATGGCAATGGTATTACTCTGGCAATAAAAGCAAATCCGCCACTAGTTAAGTTAATGTGATCTCACTTTCCTGGGGTGAAGTTTGTAAGTTGTACAAACATGGCTCAGGTGGGTCATTTTGATAAATTCAGAGAGCATCTTTAGGCGTGGGACTTTACCCTCTTGCTGGAATGATTTGAGTGATGCATTATTGCTGACGCTACAGAGAACCACATACATCCATGGTACTTTTATTCCTGGTTAGAGTGCAGACATACAGATTGTGGAAGAATCTGATTAGGCATTAGAAAATAGAGCTAAAATAAATGCATGAATTTATAAGAAATTCCTTAGCACTATAACAGTTAGTTCTTGTGGAACATTTTTCATTCCCACTACAGAAAGAGACATGAAAGAGAATAAGTGACACAGCACATGGTAATTTTGAAATAATTGTCAGCTTTTTGCCAGTTTACTGTTTCTTTAAGACATCTTCTAAGGGTTGTGAATAAAATGTATTCAGAAAATAACTTAAATCAATGCCAGACTAGAATTTTATGAATAGCTTGGGAAATAGCACTTGTTTGAAAAACAAGGAATTTGATCATATGAATCATAAAATGTTTCAGCACATTTGGCCCATACTAGCTGTGCTGATGCCAGTTTCTCCAAGGAAGCTATGTGGACAGATTAGGTGCTACATTTGCCAAAGTAACAACATTTCTAATCATATTTTGTATGGTGTTCATTTTATGTGAAAGGTGCACCACAGTTGCAAGGTATTATATTCTGCCCTTTCTTATCCCTTTATTATTTTTCTAATTTCTTCGGTTCACTTTTTATAATTCTGTTACCGGATTTTTCTGTGCAATGCACACCCTAGCTTTGCCTTAGTACTGATCCCGTTGGATAGAATGCTAAAAATAAAGATAACACCTTGGTAATCCAATACAGCAATGATTTTGCTAATGGATACAGCAAAAATCTGTTTTTAAAAGTTGTTAACTTTTTTAGAGCAGGGACGTTTTTTTAGACGTCTAGCGGCGACTTTTTTTAAGTTAGAGTTTTAGAAACCTATGCAGAAATTATTCAAGTGAATAAGCTTTGGCTATATTTGCTCAAGTAAATAAGCTTTGGCTACAAATCGAAGGCTCGATAGCAAAGAAGATTGTGATACACCCCCCAACATCTGAGATAGCAAGGTTCTCACAGCTTTTCAGTGTTCATCAGCAATTTCTTAGTTCACTTCTAATAAAATGTATAGAAAATCCCTTACTGCACCACACTTTTAGGGCCCTTCATTTGAATTTTTACAAAAATCTTTTGAAATCAAGTCTACTTCAATGCTAGGAACTTAATTTTTCTCCCTCCTACATAACAGATGATGGTAGAACTGGACGTGGACGAAAGATTTGATGCCGTTACACTTAATCAGGCCTTGTTACGGTAAGCAACACATAGACCAATTGGCATGCCTCAATAATCATTCTTACCCCGAGTGATATAAATGGATCATTGCTTGGAATGAGTTAAGATGCAAATAAATGTAGGAATACAGATCGCTTAAACTGTAGGAGTTCTGTATGTTATTTGAATTCTGAGATTAGATTAGTTAAACAGCTTGCTCACTTTAGTAGCCTTTTCATTTTGGGGGAAAAAATAGACTATTAATCAGGCTGATGTACTCGTAAAAGCTGTTGGAATATGTGATCTCACCATTAATGCATGCCATGTTTGGGTATATAAATTGTACAGTGTTAATACAAAAAGCTTCTTGATGTCCTCAATGAGGATTATTCTGTTTCTGCCTTTTAGTTTTCTGAAATCCTGGCTGTGTAAACATTACCAAACCGCCTGTATTGAAAATCACAAATGAAGGGTATTTGCACTCATTGCTTCTTGTTCTTACGGATATTGTGGATCCCCTCAGAACACTGGAAATTGAATAATGTGAAATGAAATTTCATTAAAATGCGGCAACACGTAGATAATAAGCATTGATATCTGAATTGATTTCTATGACTCTGTTTTTTTCAGGCCTGTCCTTGAAAGAGAGAAACATTTCTTGTACTTGAAGAAAGGTTTGAGACATCTAACGGAATCATACTCGGTAGGACCTCAGGCGGAAGGGTGATTAGACAAGCTTTTGTACCTTTGCTTTTCATTGTGAAGTCTGCAACTTCACTTTTAATTTATTCTAGTTCGGTCAGAGATTTAAAGCTCACATATTGCCATCGCCCAATAAAACCTAAATAAGGCAATGTTGTAAACCACACTGAGCTTTGTATGATTCTGAAGGGATGGAGCTTGGATGCCTTACATTGACAAAGCTGATTGATTGTTGATTGTAATTTCAGCTTTATAACGCCAAACCACTTGCCAAATCCTGAAGTCTGATGAGAAATTTGACTTTGGGCTGTTGGAACAACATTCAAGATGCCGTGGATTTTTATCCGTAAGCATCATTTGTCAAATATCGTATCAAATGTTGCTTGTAGCATTCCATTCTTGAAACTGATTTAGGAACTGAATTGGATCAAAATAATTTGATTTGAGCAGCCACTACAGTATTTCAATCTGACTGTTGGGATCAGGAGTTGTGAGATGATTTAGGGAATGCTTCAGCCACATAAAATCGAAGCTGCATAATTTAGTACATGGGATTTCCAGTTTTGAAGATGTCCATTTGCCACAAGACGTTATATTCATTGGTCAAAGACATACTTCTGTTGAATTGAATCTCAGTAAACACTGCTAAGATGTAACTTTCCAAAGGTGATTTCCTCCAATAAATAATTGGCGGAATGAGTTTTTTGTGGCTTGAAGTAATTTCTTTTTATGTGTTGGCTTGGTTCTGTATCTTGGAATATCATTAGCTGTGGCAAAATGCACCTGCCATTTCGAAGCAAGGGCTGTCTTATTGTTTTGAGTTGATCTATGAATGATATATGGAAGTTGAATTTGTTACTGAAGGGGTTAGCTTGTCTTTTTAATTCTTCTGAGTTTAACATTCTCTTATTTCCACACTCTGTAGATGACATGTTAATCTGAATGAGGAAATGAGGAATTAGACTAACTCAGCATCACCAAAATATACAATAATGAATGCCCTTCAGATTACTCTGATACTCATTCATGAGATAATTCATCTCTCAACAACGTAATGGAAGATACACATTTAGTAATTTTGATGGCCAGTTTTGTGAGTATGTCTAACTACAAATCTGGACACCCAAGAAAAACACGACTTTGGTGCATAACAGAATAAAGTGTCAATCTCTAAGTATTCTGTTCACATAGTAATAATAATAGTAATAATTCTTGCATTTGATTATAGCGCCTTATTGGGTTGTTGGGACGTCTCAAAGTACTTCACAGAATATATTGTAAAGTATCGTGACTGTATATTTTGTAGGTGAATAAATGTTGTGTTTATTCTTGTCAGTGAGGGTAAGCACATCATTTGGGGCTCTTTAGGTAGTAAATCACTCTTTCTGACTTAACCGTTACATATCAGGAAAAGCGTCTGGTATCTACCTGTAATCTTACAGCTTTGTCTTGGATGTGAGTTGGTGTGGGATGTGCATTGGTGTAGGGATGGACTGAAGTTTCAGAGTTATCCTCAGATCTGAGGCAGTTTGTATCCAATATTACGTGATTAATTGAAAAGATGGCACAAGAATTTAAACCCAAATAATTTTTCATATAATAATCCTAATAATAATCCTTGCATTTGATATAGTGCTTTTCATATCTTGACAGAATATCCTGAAAGTGAATTGACTGTATATTTGTGGACAAAACGCAGCAGCCAATTGCGCACAGCAGTGTTCCACAAACAGTCGTGGATTGAAAATGACCAATTTATTATTGTTTTGTTTTGGAGGGATTTTTATTAGGCGTGTGGAGTAAGGAAACTTGCCCAAGGTTTCGCCCTGCCTGGAATTGAACCCAGGTGTCTTGCTTGCAAGGCGAGTGCTCTAACCACTGAACTACAGGACTCCTAAATAAATATTCTATTTATCAGAGTATAATCTGTCAGACTTGCTTGTTTTAAATATATAGGTGTGTTCTGTAGTGAAAGGCATTATATAAATGTAAAATTGTTGCAGTGGAGGGAATTTTAAAAATAGAAGAAAAGGTGATTTTAAACAAAGGCAGTTGCAAAGAGCTGATGTTTTTTTCTCAATTTGTTCCTTCTCATATTTGTTGAAGAAATATTCATCTTTTTTAACAGGGCATGTCTTTGAAAGAGTCACAACATGAAGGTGACTGAGGGACAATAGTAGACTAGTGATCAGAATAGAGGTCACACCAGGCAGCAAAGAGGAACAAGACCAGGCTTAGGTATGCAAGTGACTATCAGGGATAGAGAGACCGCAACAGGTTGCAACCTGCCTGTCAGGGCAACCTGTTTGCGATTTCCAAACAGGTGTATGATACTTACTGTTCATATCAATGTGAGTGAGTTAATAAGAGTTTCATTTAACCGAAAAATAATGTATAATTGAAAGGATACATAATGTTGGTAACTCAAAGAAAAATTAAGCAAGAAATGGCATTAATTGCATAACTGGCAAGTCTGAGGAGGTTGAATCAGTCACAATTAATTGGCTCCCGATATAATATAATATGTCTGCGCAATTGTGGTTTTGTTAATCAGTCGGGGGTATGATGGATGTGGAAATCCCACCATGTACATGCTATATTTTTGTCAATTTGTTTTGAACTGCCTGACAATTTGGTGATTTAATTTGACCCAAAGTACCACAAATAGATATTTGTTGGAAGTTCTTATCCTGATGACCTTTTTTAAGGTGATAACCATTGCTTTAGATGAATAACTGGGAATTCATACCAACTTGATGACTGAATTTTGCTACAGCTGATGAAGGCTTTAGATACCATGGCCTAAATATGTTGAAATACTCAAACTCCACCAATGAACATAGATTGATAAATACTTGGCAATCAGTAACAAACTGCTTCACACATTTCCGAAATCACCAAAACAGCTGTTAAGTGATGCATAAAATCCCAATATAAAATGAACCAGGTTTTTGGCTTCATTAGTTGGTTGGAATCGTTTTATCTATTGTTGTTACTCTGAAGTCTGAGGGCTAGCTTCAATCTTAAGTTTATTTTGAAATATCAAACTTTTATGTTCTGGCAATTGGAGTCTTAAGAGTTGTGTCATTGCAATAAAATATGTCTGCGCAATCGTGGTTTTGTTAATCAGTCGGGAGTATGATGGATGTGGAAATCCCTTCTTGTGCTTGAGTTGCAATCTCCAGCTGTTGACAGCTCCCACAAGCAAAGTTCTGTTTGCTATAGATGAGTGGGAAGAATCTTTTCCTTCATTGGAACGTGTGTCCCTCCAAGTCCCATTGATGAGTTGGCCAATTATTAACCATGGCCTGGGGTCTAACTTGGGGAAAACATGAGTTGCTTCATTTGACCCCAAAGAGATCCTGCTTAAATTCTACCATTCAGAATAGTCAAAAAATTGACCAACATGAGTTGAGTTCTTGTTTGATGGATATTGGATTTCTCCTGTGAAATATGTTGAGCCACAAAACTACATATAGTGTGTGAGTGTATTACTATCAGAACACAGCCAGGAAACCAGTCATCAAATTGGAGCAGCAAAGCTTTAGTAATAGTTACATAGCAGTCTGCATATTGTAGCCTCCAAATCCCAGATACTGGAGTTTGTACTTGCAAATTCACACTTCAAGTAATGACTTCCATGACTGATGTCCCAGGCTTCAGAATTTCCTCATCAGTTTTTTGTCAAACATCTGCCTTCAGTGTGATACAGAGAAAGTAGCTCATGAGGTGCTTTGGTGGATCCAGAAGTTGAAGTCCATTCCAGGCTTGCTTGTCACCAACCGCTTAATCCAGGTGCTCATGTAAAGAGCTTTGGCAAAGAGATGTGTCCACTATGAGACCAAGGCAGTGTGACAGTTTGGTATAGGTAGTGCTTTACCTCCAGTAGTCATTTGCCTTTTTATAACCAAATGTAGCTCACTGCTTGGTCTTGGATCTCGTATGTGTGATGAGGAAACCAATCTGTTCCTAGATCACATTTTTGTTGACCTATTTTTTTTTTTAGCAGGATTTGCCCCTTGGATGGGAATTCACTTTTCTTTCTGTTTATGATTCAGTGTCTGGATGCCAGTCGTCCTTGGCTTTGCTACTGGATCTTGCACAGCCTGGAGCTTCTGGGTGAACCACTTGATCAGTGTGTGGAATCAGAGTGAGTATCCTCTCGCACAACAGTTTTTGTTTCTTGTCTGAAATTATTTTATGTTGCCTGGTATTGAGGGGCAGTTAGATATGTCCTGATGGTCATTTATGAATTTAAGATTGTTTCATAAATGTGTAGTTATCTTTATGACTGGGAAACTCATAATGGAAATCTCTTTATAAAATACGATTTGTAAAAAGGTAACACTTTACATCTGTAATTTTGTTCAGATCAGTGCTGCCTTGGGATACTATTATGGAATTACTGAGATGCACCTTGTCAAAGTGTAGAGACTCACCCTGTGAATCATGGGTGCTGCAATATTGACTGTTTATTACATTTTAATGTTAATTCATTGAGGATCGGGAGGAATACTGAGAAAAAGTGAAGAATAAGAGGCTTGCGTGTGTGTGAGCGTGCCTATGTGTTTGTACTAAATTTGGCGGACCGGTGTTGGGAAGAACAGGAGCTAATGTTATACTCCCTTTTTAAATAGCATCTGTCAGTTTCTGGCAAGATGTCAGAGTCCGAATGGTGGATTTGGAGGAGGACCAGGTCAACAGCCACATCTTGCTCCCACGTACGCTGCTGTAAATGCACTCTGTATAATAGGCACAGAAGAGGCTTATGATGTTATTGACAGGTGAGTCTGAGAATTTCTAATATGTTGCATTTGTAACAGGAGTGCCAACAATGCCTGAGGCCACTTGTGTTCTAAAATTTACCTTGTTTACACTGTTGGATATTAAGACATTTAAAATTGGACCTGTGGTTGTTAGAGGTGGGCTTTGTAACTTTTTTTGCTGCCAGACCTTCCCCAGATAAAGAAAGTCCTTTCTAAGTCTTTACACATCATTAATTTGCATTTTAATTGTGTTTGCTTGTTTTCTTGATCAATCTAAGATTGCATACTGTGAAACATTTGAGACTAAAATAATTGCTTTCAATGGCTCCATGTGGAGTAAAAGTAACAATTAAACTAAATTAATTGAATGTTGTCTATTATGCAAGCTTTAATTATCTAATAAATTCACATATTTCAGCTGATTGCTGTTTGACTACTGTATTAGGCTTTGTGCTAACAGTGGTTGATGAAGTGTTATGATTCAGAATAAAATGGTTTCTGAATGTATCTCAGCCTTTTTTCTACATCCAAACTTTGTATATGTATGTGCCAGCTGCACGTGAGTCTATTTGACACCTCAAAATAAAACTTGACAGGCAAGAAAAGGTGGAAAAGTACTTCATAGACATCTATCTCTGAAAATTAAAGCGCTTCTGCACAAGAACTTATTAATTGGAGACTATTTGATTCCAATCAAGTGGAATGGCCCACTTGATAGGAAACTATTGCATGAAGCCTCCCACTGAAGTTTTAATACATGAATCCAACCTGTAATTACATTTTTCACATTAAAATGATCTCCACTAACTCTAGCAGTTCAACATTTAAATGAAAGATAAAAATAAATCAAAACTGAAGCATGAAAGGCTACAAAAGACAATTTAAAATGAATAAACCAGATGGGTTGAACTAGTGCCAGAACTCACTGGGATCTGTATGCTAATCCCACAGACTGGTACAGTGTGTGTTACTTATGATCAGAGACAGTGAACATTGTGTTATCTCAGCGCATTCTGAATATTTAATCTTTACGGGATACCCACTGAATTTTGATGTATGGCAGTTTTTTTCTTGTGTCGAGTTCTGTATTGTGTCAAATTTGAAAATTGTGGAACCTTTCACAATAAGCATGAGTAATCCAGAAGAGTCTTTCAAATTCCATGAGTTACTATGTATGCAGAAGTGGCAAGGATTGAAGTTTGTGTTCACAATTTCACGCATGCAAAGATTCTAATCTCAACAATGCAGCACTTGCATACCCCTTCAAGAATAAGCATGGCATTTTGTTTTTCATTTCAAGTTGTTATAGAACATAATAGTACCAAGAACCTGTGGGCTAGGAATTCATTGGTGGTGTGGATGTTCATGGTGGAAAGTGGTGATTAGTTTACAAAAAGCAGTTACTATACTTGATAGTAATTGAAGGGCCTTCCTTGTGATATTTCTACTTTTTAAGGTGCTATAAAATATCCAAGTTCCTTATTTTTGCTTAGTGTAAATTCAAAATATTCTGGCGTTGTATGAAGGCTGGTTTGAGCTCAGAATTTCAGTACAATTGCTTTAATACAGGGAAAAGCTGTTGCAGTTTCTGTACTCGGTGAAGCAGCCTGATGGATCTTTCATTATGCATGTGGGTGGAGAAGTTGACGTCAGGTGAGTTTTTCCCATTAAATAATTTAATCATCTGCAGTATTTTGCGTTTCATTTGAATTTTAATCATAGTTGACTTGTTGCTGGGAGGCATTGAGCAGTGAGAATTTTAAAACTTGCTGAAGAGAATGTGGCTGACGGTTGACCATTATAGCACAGAGTAAGGATAACTTCAGTTTACCATGTACTTTTTGATGAAATGACACAATTCAAAATTTGCTTGTATAGAAAAGGAATTTAATTCTGAAAGAATTGAGTTGTCTTTTAAGTAGTAAATTACGTTGCTTATTCACGAATAGAAATGCTACAAAAAATTCAAAAGTACATGATTTCATAATCTGAAAATGTTTTCTGTTCTGTTTTGGACTATTGAATGCTCTGATGATTAAATGAACTATTTTACATTGCCTAGGTGTGCATACTGTGCAGCTTCTGTTGCATCCTTAACAAATATCATAACACCTAAACTATTTGAAGGGACAGCTGAGTGGGTGAGAAGGTAAGTAGGTTTAAGAGAAAAATGAGTACACAAATAGAATTATTTTGAAAGTTCTGAATCTTTCCAATGTTGACTTTCATGATCACTTTATTTCCTGCATGTTAATTTCCATCAGTCTAACTAACACATGGTGTAGGAAGACATTGCTGAGTGATGCTTGGCACCAACATTTGTTTATACAGCATTAATTGCATGTAACTACGCTATGCCTGGTCTGGCCTAGATTATGAGATAGTCCTGCCAAAATGCCCCTGCTATCCTGGTCAATATTCCTTGAGGTCAATTGAACATTCATTTTTTGTTTTGTGTAATCTTGCTGGTGCAAATGACTGCCATGTTTGCTTGCAAAAAAATCAGCCACTGCATTTGAAAGTAATGACCTGTGAAGAATTTTGAGCTGTCTTAAGGCACTGTAAAAATGCAAGTTCTTTCCATCCATCCATCCATCCATCCATCCATCCATCCATCCATCCATCCATCCATCCATCCATCCATCCATCCATCCATCCATCCATCCATCCATCCATCCATCCATCCTTCTATCTGTTTGTTTGTTTGTTTATTACAATATTGTTTCATCTTTGTTACTGAAGATCATGTGAATGTTTGGGAAATAGCAAAAGGCTGAGTAGCTGCCAGCGAACATTTATTCAGGGATATGCCAAACTAGCATTCTGATTTTCCCCTGCTGCATCAACAGAGTGGGACTCTACAATGCAATGTTAGAGGGAAGCAGGATAGAAGGCAAAAGTCTTAAAATTGCTTCTGACTATCTTCCTGGTTAGTGTGAACAATTGTGTTTCCTTCACAGGTGTCAGAACTGGGAGGGTGGGATTGGTGGCATACCTGGGATGGAGGCCCATGGTGGCTACACATTCTGTGGCATGGCTGCCATGGTCATCCTTCAAAAGGAACGGATGTTGGACCTCCGAACATTGTTAGTAAGTCAGCCCTTATATACTTGATTTTGGCTAGAATAATTTTGATATCAGCAATAACAAACTTACATTTATAGAGCGCCTTTCACGTCGGGAGGACGCCCAAGGCGCTGGACAGTCAGGGGTCAGTTTTAAATTTTAAAACAAAAACTCTCAAGCATCCATCATGAACTTTCAGCTTGTAGAACCTGTCATACGTCTTAGTCTGTCCATTAAATGTTATTGTCACCGAACATGAGTCGTCCAACTAATTTTCTTGGGGTTAGTTGAACAGTTGGGATATAGAACAAAGTAAAGAATTTTGTTAAAAACAGTTTGTTTTCTTTTCCAAGAAACAGAGATTTGATTTCAAACCTATTAAAGCTAATAGATTTGGAGTTATTTTTCTGCATAAATAAGTGATATGATTGATGGGGGATCCCTTCTCCAGATTGAAGAATGGGGAGAAACTGCCCAGGAAACTGGCTGTACACTAGCTGTTTAGCACACGATGAATCATTTGCACATCTCAGGAGTAGATACCGTGCTGTTGTATTTTGTGCAGCGTTGGGTGACGAGACGGCAGATGCGGTTTGAAGGTGGATTCCAAGGACGATGCAACAAGCTAGTCGATGGTTGTTATTCCTTTTGGCAAGCAGGAATTCTCCCACTCTTGCACCGAACACTACATGTACAAGGCAAGTGTTGCTGTTCAATTCTAGAAAGGTAAACTCTTATTGCAGGCGTTCACCCATGTCTTGTACCAGTGTAGCTTTTCCAATATCATTGTCCACATCAACAGGGTGAAACAGCCCAAAGCCAAACTGAGAGTGTGCATCCATCAGAGAACAACTTTTATCAACTCAATTTCTATTGGATTGAAATTTGGGTACCACAGGTGAAAGGACAATGTTTAAGCAACTTTACAGCATTATCACAAATCATTTATTTTTCAAACTTGGAACTTGCCTTTATTGGACTCCCAAATTTTCCCTTTGTATTTGTAGTTCAGATTTGTTTTGGTCATTGCTTTTTGCTAACCATCCTGTACTTTTTTGTACCCACAGGAGACTCTGCTCTTAGTTTGACACATTGGATGTTTCACCAAGAAGCACTGCAAGAATACATACTACTCTGCTGCCAACATTCTAATGGCGGCCTCCTAGACAAACCCACCAAGTGAGTGGGCATTTTGGTTTATTGCCAACCTGAGAAAATGTGTATCAAAACCGAGAAAGTTAATTGATCTTATTGTGGCTATTGTAGAATGCTACTGAGTAGATATGTGGTATAATTTCAGTGAATGCTTTACGTATGGCATTTCTCATTTACATTCCAGCTTGTCAAATGGCAAATAGCATTGTAAAACTAAATATGTGAAAGAGAAGCAGAACTTTTGGGGAAGAGAAGAAAATATTTTAGGCTGAGAGTGCGTCCAACCCTTGCTTAGCAACAGTTCTAGAAATTGCTTTCCAAATAGCTTTTTTTTGGTCAGTTGGGTCACATGCAGAAACCCTTCACCATGCTGAGGAGAATCCAAACCAAACAGTACCGTGCATCCCACCTACACGTGGACATTCCAGATATTTATTGGAATGGAATCACCAGGCTGTGCTGTCTCATTCTATATTTTTGTGGTGATGTGTTGGAAGAAACTTAATTTCAATGCGTGTTTTTTTTTTCTTTTTTCTCCTCAGATCAAGAGATTTTTATCATACTTGCTATTGTCTGAGTGGACTTTCACTTGCCCAGCACTGTGTTGGTGGAAATATTCTGCATGAAATTATAGTGGGTGATCCAAACAACCGACTGGTAAGTTATATTTGATGAATCATAGGAGAAATTAGTTTGGGATCTTGTGTTGGAAGTAAATTTGATGATGTGGAATAATATCTGATGTCCTTTTCCCAATTTTCAACAATAAAACGTTTATGTATCCTTGTGTTGACTATTTTTTAGGGTCTACTTTACACTGATCACCTAAAATAGCTATTTATGTTCTTTATGATGAAACTTTCCATTATAAATGTGTAGCAAAAGAATTAGAATTTTTCTCCTTTGTCAAGAATCGGATGATCTTGTATCATCTATACTGAATGGTATTTGCAATCCTTTAACCGGATGAAAATATTTCATTGTTGCAGTTAGATACCAAAGTGTAGTTGTGAGTCTAGAATACACGAAACAGGAATGTTTTACAAAGTTTGAATGATTTTATGTTCACATGGCAATGTAATCATGCAAATTGAATCTTTATGGAGGGCATGAAGATGCAATCTTTAGGTATCATCTGATACATGTGAAGATTTCCCTTTTTAATAATCCTGGATACATATCAAATCTTGGCACCTTTAGTTCTTTCCTTTCTTTGGAGGAAGATGCTTGTCTATAAATAATAATATAGTGCTGTAAGCATTTAGATTTCTTGCATCCGGCATGTGCACAATGGGCCAAATGTTATCCTACTGTACTGTAATATTCTATATTACAGCACACAAGCTTGGTGTTTCTTAATATTCAACTTGCTGTATAGAACTTTTTTTTTGTTTCCATGCCCTTTTCGTCTCCTGGAAAGTAACTTTCTGTTGTTCCTGGTGGCAGGATAAAATGAAGACTATTTGGATAATTTCTTCACAGCCAACATGTGGCTAAAGCAATTTTATCCAGAAAGTATCTGGTGTTTTAATAAATGTAGGAATACATGGTTAAGATTGTTTTTTTTTCCAAAACAGGAACCAACCCACCCAGTATACAACATTGGTCCTGAAAAAGTAGCACAAGCTTTAATGCACTTCCTCCAGCTGCCAGTTCCCGAGATGAAGAACTTTGATTCAAATTAGTGTCAGTGTCCATTGATGAATGGTAAACTGATGTCCAGTGTACACCTCATGTAATCTCAGTGAAAAGAATTGTGGTTTGAAAAGCAAAGGTATGATGTGGAGCAGATACCAATGGAAGTGATTGATTTCTCAAAGACAAAGCCAGTAGAACTACTCTGAAGAAATAGTCCAATTGGCGTTCACCTGTCTGTCGGTCACTGACTCTGCTGCAAAAACAGGCTGGTGTCTGGAAGGGTTCTGTTAAATGTTTCTGAATTCCTTCAGAAAGATGAAAAGGATTGGTCCAAGTATGGCATTTTGCTTTTTGTTGCCTTTAGAAGTAATTTATTACTATTGCAATAAACTTCTTTTTCAAGCTACCAATCTTGTCTGTTTTAATTTTCACTGTTTTAACAGTTGGAAGAGATTTCTGTTGGTGGAAAGGCTGCTTAGAATTGTGTGTATTTTAGATTGCTGTAACAATGAGGAATTGGGGGTATTTTCTCTTCCATCCCACCAACAATATTAAATTTTGCAATTGCAAGTCATTTGTGCCTTCTCTGACTGAAGGGGGAAAAAATGAGGAAGTATCACAAACTAACAAGGATAAAATAATTTTTATTTATAGTCTCATAGTAAAGGTCAGCCTCAACTTGCAAGACAATTCTTGGCAGTATGTACAACATACCTGTAATTTCCATGGAATGGAATCATAACAAAGACAAATCTACATAATGCTACAAGCTAGTTTAAGCTTAGACCAATAATTGAAAAGGCAGAGACAGACAAATGTACACACACCCTGACAAAGCCTGAATGGTGCTAGGCAGCCAGATGATTGTTCAAACACAATAATTAGCAGTTGTGGGAATCAATCTTACTTTGTATATTGTATTATGCAGACAGAGGCTTAAATACAAATATTTCAGTTCCTGCTAAAACACTTACGCTTAATAACAAACTATTTTGGATGAATTGAAAGTTGATATTTCAGTACCATAAAGCATAGCTTGAGGGCACTTAAGCTGTTCCATCATTCTGTAGGGTTTCACTACAGCAATTCAAGGCACAGAATATTTGAGTTTTTAATCTGCTAATACAAGGAAACAAATGGTGGGATTTATCTTTGAAGATCATTAGCTTCAATACTCAGACATTAAACATCTTCAGTTTCATAATTGATGTGAATAAAATAAAGAGTAAAGGTATTTCAAAATAAGCTTACAAAGACTGGTTGTGTCTTCAATAGGGTTGAACACTCCAAACAGTTTTGTACTAAACACCTATACAGATTAATAATCCATCAAATAACTTGTGCCTTGCTTCCTTAATCTCTTAATAGCATAAATTTTCAAATTTAGGCTTTTTCCTTTGGGTGCCACAGCTAGAGCACAAGTCTTAAGAACTGCTGTAAGGATTCAGTTACAGCAGGTGGAGTCCTTAATTGTTTTGAAAGCTGCCATTTTGTAATTTCATGAGAAAGCAGTGGGTCCTTCTACTGATGAAACAAGATGCCATCTTTATTAACGGCATCTATTGTTATTGTCCTAAGAGCACAAAAAGGGTCTTGACAGAAGACAAACTGAAAGATAAAGCTATACACAAGAATCCCTAGTAAAATCAAGCCAGTTTATTGCCTCAGAAGGTTCAGCTGGCTTCCATTCGCAGTTTCTTTCTGGTCTGGGGTTCTTCCGTTTCTGACTCCGAAGTCGAATCAGAGCCTCCGTCAAAGGCAGAAACTGCACTGCCCTTGGGATTGGTGTATAAGCTGCTGTCGGAAGATGAGAAGTTGGCTTGTAGCTGAGCAGCTGTCCGTGCCTTTTCCAGTGCACGTACTGCAAGATAAAGAAAGTTTGTGATGAAATCAAATTAACTGACATAACACCATGGATTCTATCTTCATAAATACCCTGTGTCTTGCCTATTCTTGGTACTGCAAGCATGCAAATTAGGTGGCATCTAAAGTGAGAAAAATCACACAAACTATTCAGCCCACAGGCATATACTAATCAGAATGGTTCCTGAGTAAACTTGGGTAGGCTTGAGCAGATTTGCTGCTCGATGCGCTTCTCAATCTCTCAAATGGACTGGCAAGGCATGAAATGTTAACTAGGCGAGGATGGAGTGCTGTTCCCTCTCTCAATCTCCAGATAAAGTGGAGAATATTTGGAGATAAGAAAATCAGTTTACATAACTAAGCATCTATCAAAATTGACCGATTAGAATTACTGGTTATAGATTCTTATTTCTCCCTCTCATAGCCCCTTTCCCTTAAGTACGTTTGTCCCTCAGGATGTTTGAAATCAGAAGTTTACTGCATTATAATCTAGACCACAGAAAGTGGCTGGATTCACGAAAATGGTATTTAAGACATTTTGCGATTCTCTGCAAATTTGGTGAGAAATGATAGTGTATAATGAAGTGTTTCAAAGTGAATTGATTTGCAGCTATTGGAGAGATGTTCTGGGTGTTCATTGGACACAGTAATATTCTATTCAGATTTAGTAGCCTCCAATGTTAGATGAGTTGTATGTAAAATAATTGGTTTGCGGTGCTTTTACTTCAGATTCTAAGATTCTGACAGTTACCAGACAATGTTAAGTCTAGTCTTAAATGTCCTGTTGCTACCATCTTGTGGTAGAGCTGTTCTGCACAGTTTTATTGTACTGTACCAGACACAGAAATTTGACCCTTTGAGAATTAAAACTGAATTAGATTTTCCATTTACTGCTTGATATAAAACACAAGGTATTAAGCATGGAATTATCGGGCAACATGTGTAGAATCATACATGAGGAATAAAGGGTTGGGAGAGAGAAACATCACTGTTCTCCATCAAGAGGGACTTTGCATAAGATAGAAAAAAATTCAGGCTAGCCTATCCAGTAAAAAGCTTTTTGAAATAGACTTTTTAACATAGAGCAAAAGGAAGAAATATGGAATGTGAAATATCATTTTTCAGTAATAATCAACTCTATGTATATACACGGTCTTTTCCCGCATGCTGCATGGAATATTGATATACATCAGCTATCTACTAGTAATATTTGCATTACATTTGGTAATTGTTTAACTTGAGGTATGTAACCACTTCCATTGCTTGTTGTAATGCTTAAGAATTGTCTTGCAAAGTACCACAAACCAGTGTTGGATTTGCTGAACTTTCCCTGAAAGAAGTACTCCATCTTAAGTCGAATAGTTAGTGTTGGCCAATATTTTTAGTGCAAAACTGTGCAAATCAACTACTTCCTTTTAATATTACAAAATAGAAGTTGCAACAGTACTTTCCCTGACTCTGACCTACCACTTTGCTATTGTACAAGAAGGAATCTTATTTAAGAGTACACAAACTATGTCTAGTTTACCTTTACATATCAATATCCAAGAATGCCAAAAGTACAACTAACAAGAGATTTCCCTCAATGGCTCAATTGGCAGTTATGTCCTAAAGTATAAATGCACAAGATGCCAGATTCAATTCCTGGTTTGCAGTAAATGATTCCAAACAGGGCAGCAGTGGGAACTCTCACAACCCCTGGGCAAGAGAGGAGAAATAGAAATTAACTAGGGTTCCTGATCACTACACTGCTAAACCACGTATGCATGTAGATGTTTGAGGACAGGATCAGGGTTGGCTGTGATGCTCCTCTGGTTAAAATAACCAGCTAAATTTCTGCCTGGGCTCGCAAATTAAGAATGATCATTTGGATAAGGTACTGTGACACCTTATAAATTAGTGGACCCACCAATAAAATAAGCAATCAGTTGCAATCTTAGGGAAGAGGGGTTATTTTCCACTCATGTAAATCCATTTCTTATTGGATAATTACAAACTGAAATTTGTACAGATATAATCTTAAACTGAGCCCATTGCAATGTAATTCCACTTAACAGCCTATTAAAACACTGCTGGTGACCTCAAACATCAACATTATGCGCAAAAGTTCAAATCATGATAACCACAATTTTACATACCCTTACCTTGCTGCTCAAGCAGAGCGTTCTGTCGCTTCAGATCATCAATGTCCTGCTGATGTGTGTGGTTTTTCCGCCTCATATACTGAATGTACTCTGTGGCTTTATCTAAGATTTGGGCACGAGATGCCTATTAAAATAAGAAATTATTTAAGTGGAGTGCAGATCAAAATTCTCAAGCTGCTCCATGTTACAACTTAAATTGCAACATTTGCTAAAATATTCTATGGGAATGGAAACAAATTAGTGTTTAGGGATCAGTTTTAATAATCTAGTAATTATTTTTTTAAAAAAACTCATTTATATTAACCAAAAGAACCACAAAGAATGGAGATTTGTGAGCACCAATGACTAAAAATATAAAGGATTTTGTAAGTTAACTGGATGTATAATTGACTTGTCTAAATCACCCCATATTTGCCATTTTATTCAAGCAGCAGTATCTAGAAGTGTTCATTTGAAATCTATTGCAAACGAGTCACCAAAATGTTCTAATAAAAGCTTTTAAAAAGTGTAGAAAAATAGTTAGAATGCAGCTTATCTTGCAGCATTCAAAATGCTGCAAGATAAACTGTATTTCCACTACATGATGTATTTCTAAAATTGCCTTAAACTGAGTGCTACACAATAAAATGAATTGCTGAGAGAGTTTTACATATGTTACAGGATGCCATTTGTATTCTCGTGACCAAGTCAATGTGCTGTTGCCAAATCTGCTGGTGTCCAAAATGGCAAACATTTTAGGTGGGTCACTGAAACTGAAAGCACAATTTTATTGTGACAGCCTTGATCACCTGTTCTCTTACTTTACTTCCTGTGGTTTAGATGTTCCGGTGCAAAGTTGTTTTGAAAAAAATATTGTATTGAAACTTTACAGTTGTATGGTATTGCCAAATAATGTGACCAACATCCAAAAACAATTGTTTTCTTCAAAACACAAAGAATATGAAATGAATTACCTCATACCACTTCAGTCTTTGAATACCCAGAAGAGCTAACTGCAAGCACTGGCACCAGCAGCTTAGCTCCAATAAAACCACATTGTGCAAGCTTTTTATCTAGTCCACAAATTAGGCAATTGTTAAAACCTCTGCTCTCAATGTAGAGAGCAGAATTAGCATCGGTATGATACAATTCACATTTTTAATCATTTTCCTTTATAAATACACATGACAAACTTAAAATTGTGCGTTAAAAACAAACGAACGGCACAACTGAATGATTATAATCAAGTATTCATCAGTGAAAACTTATTGCTGGGTTTAGGTTTGCAACCAGCCTCCAACTTCTGGCGGTGTAAGCCAACCTGAAACGAAATATGGTGGCCTACGCTCCAGCACTGATGGATGAACCAGTTCTCCCGCCAGAGACCTCTTCTGCCACCACTCCCAGTTGCTGAACAGCCAGAGTTGAAGGCCTTTGTTTCTGCGCATATGTGGAAATAGTTACGTCATTGAATTACACATGCAAAAACAAAACTCAATCCACGACTGAGCAAGAGCTTGGCCAATCTTATTTTCCTGGTTGGACGTTACCAAGACAGTGAGGGGGGAAGAGAAGGAGAAAGGCCATGAGCAAAATCATCTGATATTCCAGCACAGCTCCCACTCTTCCCTTAATTGTAAAGCAACTGAATGGGAAGATTGTCAAAATATCTACACTTGCATGGAATTTGTGACATCACTGAGTTACATGTGCATTGATGTCTTTATGCAAATGGTGTTAATATATACGCCATGACTGCATATGCAATGACATCACTGTTTCTGTGGTACGCACAGAAACAAAACTGCGACTTTCAAAGTGAACACTTTGCTGCACAAAGAGTGATGTTCAACACATGAGCATCACTCTTTGTACCACAGGTAGCACAGTAACCCATTGTTTCGTCAAAAGCCCTGGGAAAGGTAAAAGAAACACAATTGAAATAGAATAATATTTTTCTCCTTTTAACTTTCCAAACTTGATTTCAACACCTTAACTCCCCCAACGTTATATTCTAAAAATTCTCAACTCTAGCATTCCATACAAATACGTATTTAAATTATTAATTAAGTCATGCCTCAACACTTTCTGTAGTAGGCTTATGGTCACAAAAAATGAGTAGCAAACTTTTTGCAGTAATGTTACGTAAAGTGACACAATTGTTTTTAAGATTATATACTTCAATTAGCTCTATTTCAAAGGTAGCTATTAGAAACACATATACAATTCTACTGTAATTGCAAATTCTTTCTATCTCTTTACATTCAGATCTCATGTCTAAATGGTGCATTTGTTGTGGCTCCTTGACCCTCTTCCTGCAGTCACTTTGCCTGCCTTTTCAGCTTGCACCCACTATACTGCTTCTAAGTGCACCTGCTTTCACCTGATTCCGATAAGAGGTATGAGAAACATTGGAGCAACTGTTGAGTCTTCTTGTTTTTCTCCAGCTTTTCTCCTTCACCTGATGGTGCTTGCTTCATTTTTCCTTACACTGGAGTATCATTCCATGGGTGATGGTCACCCTCTGGGTAGCACTGCTCAAGTGAGAGCTGTGATGGTGAGTATTGGGCAAGGCATTTGGCTGCAAGTGGTATGTCTGAGCTAAGCCTGATCCTCTTCACGCAATATCTACACAAGTACAACTTCAATCCAAAGGCCCCTAAAGAGCATTAAGGAGCAGAAACCTGGACCGATTATCCTCTTACTAATCCAGGAGGTGCTAATGCCAATTCTAACACACAAACTACTATGGTGAAATCAAACAAACCAGGGGAGTCTAATCACTTTTTATTCAACATTCACCCTCTCCCCTCCCCATTGTTTGAGAAATGTCAAATATTCACTGTGCTCTTTTACTGATAAATGAGCTGCCCTGTCAATTACTGTAGTGGGAAGGGAGAAGAACAGCTCATTATTAGTTTAATGGAAACTGGCCAGTCTAAGATGTGGTTTAATCAATCCCAGTAAACTGGGTCTTGGAAGGATATGTCATGCGATTTTTAAAAAAGATCACTACCCTGTAGGTTTCATTAAATTCATCTGTTCATGTTCCAAGAGACAAATCCATTTTGTAAAGATCTTCCTACTGCAATGTTTGATGGTATGAGATACTCCAGAATCCAGTGGTAATGGGCACTTATAGCCATATACCCCAGAGCATTTTATTCTGGCAATAGTGGGAGAATCTAAGCATTCAACTGAATCTCAAATCCTCACTCACAATGAAAACTTTTTCAGACAAATAATCTATGCTCATTTCAAAAGAAAATACTAGTTTCTCTGGCCACATCAATTGGATTGTTAGAAGGTTGTGAGTTTTCTGGAATTCTTAAAATGACCCTGCGGGGTGCATCATTCAATCTATATTCTCTTAGTTGTCATCTCATGAAACAACCACAAAATGACAATGAAACTTTAAACCAGTGCTTCTCGCTGATTGTGGTGCTAAATACTGAGGCTCAATTGACTACAAGCAATTTAAACTGAGTTCCTGTGACTTATAAAGCCATTTCAGACACCCCCTCCCCGCCATTTTAAGAATTCATGTAATTCAGGAAAAAAGTGTTGATTTGTCACTCGTCACACAAAGATTTCTGAACCCTGTCTGCTGTCAGTCATCAAGAAATGAAATTGCGATCAGTGAGCCTTACCACAATCAGTTTGTTCACTTCCAACCCATAGAAATGTAGTTTACTTTCAATTTCACCAGTTTGGTAGAAATCCCACATCAAGCTAACTAACATTGAGTGGAAAAGGCAAATTGTGCTCATTGCGACTCCTGCTCTTCACCAAGATATCTGACAAACTATCTCCAGGCAGTTGTACTTGCTTACTATTTGTTTTCATAGTTTTCCCTAGAATTAAGAACTTATTGGTACATGTTCCTATACTTCACATTTACTGTGGAATCTGCAAACTTGATCATTTCCTTCTAAGTAACAAAGCATCAATGACGAATGCTATGTAATAGCCAACAAACTGGATTTAAAAAAAATCTCACTGATTCTACTGGTTCGCTCCTTGGTACATCATTTGGCAAGCTTTTAAAATAACCACTTTTGATTTTCACTGCAAAGAAATAGGATAATCATTTAAAATGTACAAATACAGCAATGCAATGAAGATTGATGGTCATGGCACAGTTTTTTTTAAAAATATGTATACATGCAACTTTCACAACTGAACCTGTGGCTGGGGATAAAATATATTTTGTTATTCAAAGAACAAGTTCAGATGTTTACACATCTTTCTTTTGAGTTCCAAAAAANCATTTTGCTCTTCAGATCCAATGGTCACTATCTCAACACACATACTGAGGGAAAAAAAACATAACTTATTCCTAACATGTGTGATAACACTGTAAATGAGAAGGATGTACAAGATCAACAAAACATATTTTCTCCAGTATTTTTGTCAGAACTTACCCTCCCCCAAGTACGAAATACAAACACAGAAATTCATCAAACACACAATATCATTTAAAATTCTCCAATCCCTTGAAACTCCCTCCCCACCAAAGTTAACATTATTTCACTCAACAACCATCACTCAAATAAGAAGAAAAAAAGCTGCGGAACTTAACTGGAATACCGACCTTTTCTCCCTGGAGTGATGGTACGGAGTCACGTAAACTATGAAAGCTGTCTTTGATATGGTCCCTGCGTTTGCGCTCCAATGCATTATGGTGAGCTCTTTTGTCTGCCTGCAAGACAATTTGCATTCTTTAGTATGTATTTAACTTAAGATGGATCAATTTTCATAAAAACATCTTTCGGCATTATCTCCAGACTTCCGCCAACTACTTGTTCATTTTCAGCTGAAATAAAGATAGGTTTACAATACATTTCAGTTGTTGCAAGTTTGATACTACAATTGAAGAAAGACTGCAACAGGAATTGCAAATCACCGAGCATCAGTTAAGACCAAGATCCTCAACCAAATGAACCACCAGCTAATTTGTTCATTTGGTTTGGTGCTACATTTATATAAAAATAAGTGTACAATACACTTGAATCTTTTTTACTGTCAGAAGTCAAAATTGTCAGTTTCAAGCAGACACACTTCTTATTTGGTTATTTGTCAAATGTAGCTTCTTGAGATAGGAGTTACTTATTTGTTTCATTTAACTGGGGCTGAAATTAACAGTTAATGCTGTCAAGCAGCTAAAGTAGTCCAGAGGAGAACTGTGTAAAGTGTAAAAAAGTGTAAGGGTGAGAAACAATTGCACTACTTGTCAGTTTGTAAATGGAATATAAATCAATATTCCAAAATGCACAACACAACTAATAAGAACCATAATATGAAGCTTCTCACCACATGCCTACAAATACAACTACTTTACAGTAAATCCTGTGAAACGTTTTGAGATGTTTCATTGACACGATAAAGCACCATATCAAATATAAGAATTATTCTCTCAAAATACTAAAACGTATCCTCAACAATGTGGAAAAAGCAGGCAGTATATTTAAAAAAATACTTAACTGGTTTTACAACTGTATTAATGATCAAAATTGTTACACCCATCGTAATAAAATCACTGGTTTCATCTTCAATAGCTTACAAAGGTTTGCAATAACTGTAAACAGGGTTAGGTTGCTCTTTCGTAATTACAGGTATACAAACCATTAAGGTGTGCAATTTTATTTAATCACTCAAATAGTACCTTGTACCAGATGAACATTGGACAGGAATGAGCATGCAACTTAGGCATGGAATTATATTGTCAAAATATATTGTGCAGTTTTCCATAGATTTTTATTGTACATTTTTTAAAATCAAGTATGAATAATTCTGCCTGATACACTGTAATTTCTTAACAATTATCCCAGGATCCCCTCCAAAACACACAACCAATTTCAGCGCCTCTACTTTGTCAACAGGATGTATGTGTATGCTGGTCCTAACTGATAGTCTGGGAACTGACACAACAAAAATGTGCGCAGGCCCTGGAGGATTGTGAACTGGGTCTTCACCCTACAATCAGCAATCATTGGCATCTGCCCACAAGTGTAAATATTACTGCACATCGCATGAAAAGTACAGCCCTATACTGCAAGCTTCCATGAGGATTCCTTGAACATTGGCATGTAAATATTTAAAACCACAAGGGCTTCGTCAGAAAGTTTCAAAAGTGATCCACAGGCTTTTCAAAATGCATTCGTCTGTTGCCAACTTCGTTGACTTGTCCAGGGCTCAATTAACTCGGTACTTCCTGGAGTCCATTTTATGTTCCAAGGTACACCCTTATTAAAACTCATGTGAACTTCAGTATCGTCACTGATGTTTGAAACAAAAATTATGTCGTGCATTGACATCAGCAAATGATAATTTGGACCTCGGGGGGGAAAAAAAAACGCTTTGCACATTTACACAACGACAAAAGAGGAAGGAAAATATAACGTCGCGATAAGATCTCAAGTGTTTTGTTTGTCAATGTTTGGGTTAAGTAAATCTTTTCCACGTCTACTACTTTGTGTGCGGGGGAGGAGGTGGTGGGGTGAGGGAGGGGGTGTCGAGGGAGGAGAACACGGGATCAAAAACCTGGGAAAAGGGCGACGCTTAAACGACAGATTTCCAGGGTCGCGTTTTGTCGATCCGAACTAAAAGCTCCGACGGTTGTAAATAGGACGCGCTGAGACTTGTGGGAGGGGATTACACACCGATTTCTATCGAAACGAAAAGAAAATGGACACGACGTCGGGTTTGCACCGCACAAACAAAAAAAAATATGCCTCCCGTCTGCCATGAAGCGGTTTCGTTATCGCTTCAGAGCCCCTCGTTTCAAAACACACACACACACACACACACATATATATACACACCACACACACACACACACGACTCTCTCCGGGCTTCGTGGCTGACTGATCGCCCCTGTGTCAGGCTGTCACGGACAGAGCAACACCCGAGTGTCGTGCGCTCTCCCCGCCCTCCCTCCCTCCCTCGGACCCTTCATTTCGCTCCATTTCCTCACGCCGCCTTTCCCTCTCCACATTTGCGGCAGTGTCCCCCCCCCCAACCCCGTCCCCCCACTTCTCTCTCTCTCTGTGTGTGTGTGTGACTCACGGCCTCCTTACTTACACACGCCATCGCCTAACCTAAACACAAGCCAAATCCACCCCACCATCTTCCCCCCCCCAGTTGAAAAGGCTTCACCCAGCGACGGCGCGGGTGAAGGATGATCGGCTTATTTTAATTACAACAAAAAAATAAAGGTTTTTCTCCCCTCCTCCTCCTCCTCCCCCCCACCCCCCCGTTTGGATCTTTCACCGAAGAAAAGGAATCGGGCGCAAGTGCACGGATTGCTCCTCGCAGAACCGACAACGGTCACGAGAGGGGGTGGTGGGGAACGGGAAAGAACCCGTGAGTTGAAAGAAAAAAAAGGGAAAAGAAACGAATGGCGGAAAAGAAAAGGAAAAAGAAACCCCCCCCCAAAAAAATTTGCGTTTAAAAAATCAGACTTACGTCACTTTCGACCTCGATATCATCGTTATCGCTCATGCTTTTCAAACCAATCTTTACGACTTTTTAAAGACACACTACAAATAATGGATTTGTAAACAGAACGAGGAAAAAAGGGGATAAAAAAAAACACAAGGGGGGGAGGGGGGGGGATAAAAAAAATACAACTGAAAGCACTCGTGACTCCGCCACCACCACCACCCGACAGGCCAGGGACCCCACGGGACATCAGCTCCCGGCTCGGCTTCAGACTGCGCCTGCGCTGTGCTGCCCCGGTCATCCGAGCATGCCGGGACTTGTAGTTTCTTCTCTGCAGTGGCGCCATGTCTGCCGCTGGCTCTGCCACTGCATCTCCCGTCGGGCGTCGTTTCAGCCCTCGGGGGAAGGAGGCGGGTACCGGAAATGTGTCATCCATGCAGGCGGTGCGTGTCGGGATATAGAGTCCCTTCTCCTGCTTGTTGTTGACTCGTTTCTTGCTGAGCTATCCCAGAAGGCTTGGCGGTCCGAGGGTAGGAAGGAAGGAAGGAAGATGGCCGCTGTTAGGCGGTGATAACTTACCTGCGCGTTGGTAGGGATGGGTATGCGAGGGTTTAAAAACTCTCACCTCCCTGTAGCAACTTTAAATAAGCCTTTAGGGGTTCATGTGCTCCCAACGAAGGAGTCCCAGTTTGTCCTGGAAAAAAAAAGGTTTGTCCCTCGTGCACGAAAAAAACAGTCTTTATTTTTATGTGAACATCAACAGTAATTTGTTCTACTGGTCCCCAGTGTTGTTCTTGATCTGCGTTTCGTGTTTACAGGTCAGTAACATTGAAAGAGCAAGAAAAGTGTCAAAAGAACATTTTCTGTTCAAATTACTTGGATTACCACCCTCCCTCCAATAGTAGAACCACATATTTTTGAGGATAGTTTCCCCGAGTCGAGGAATTATATCTTATCTGCCTGGGGGTCTATCCAGCTACTCCAATGCGAGATGTTTCAAGAAGGAGCCAGCTGTGTCCTGCATTGCCACCATTGAGTTTGATGGGTTTGGAAGCTGATGGAGAGCTTCCGGACACCATGCATTGTGTGCAATGTGCAGCTTTTTACTTTCCTCAGCAACTCAGCGCCATGGTTGTCAAGTTATTTCAACTCCTGGATTATTCTGTTATGTTTGTATGGGTTGTTGGGTGTCAGCTTGGTTCGGTTGGCAGAACTCTCACCTCTGAATCAACAGGCTGTGAGCTCAAACCCCATATCAGGGCTACTTTGTATTCTAAGATGACTCTTGCTTGCTCCATTGCCCTTGTACTGCAAAGGAGTGTCTTAACTGCTATTGTTTGCTGATATTGCTGATATTTTAATGATGGCAGCCAAGCTGTTTGCTACAATTTCATGAAACATTCTTTTGAATGGACTCTTCCAGTTGGAATGAAGTTAAGAGTTGGTCATAATTTTACTGCAAATGATTTATTGGTATCATATCTATTAAGTCTACTTTTAACTATGGGAGAAGGATTTATCCACAGCAATATTTTGGTTGTTTTCTTCCAACTTGCAATAATAAAAAAATCTGGTAAACTTGACTTTCTATTTTTGTTCAATCAGACTTATATTTACAACATGTTTACCATCATTTACACTTCTGTCATAACTTGAGGCTTTTTAGCACTTCTGTGTTGATATTGAAAGTCAGAACCATTGGTGAGAACCAATTAGACTGCTGTATACAATTGGCTGCAGTGTTTTGTCCACAAAACATAGTCAAGTATAAACAAAACACAGATTGCTGCAGATGCTGAAAATCTGAAACATTATCTGGGTCCCAGACACACCTTTTCTCTCTCTTGTCTGCCTATTTTGTTGCAATTCACCCCCCTTTATTTTGCATTAACACCTCTTTTCTCCTGCCATGACCTGCTCTGCCTTCCCTCACCTCCGTAACATCGCCTGACTCCGCCACTACCTCATCCCTCAGGCTGCTGAAACTCTTGTTCATGCCTTCATCACCTCCAGCTCGACTATGCAAATGCCTTGCTCATCAGCATTCCCAACTCCTCCCTCCACAGGATTCAGATAATCCGGAACTCTGCAGCCCATGTCCTCTCCCGCACCAAACTCCGTGACCCCATCTCCCCCATTCTCGCCCAACTCCATTGGCTCCCTATCCTTCAAAAGATCTAGTAAAAAATCCTGATCCTCACCTACAAACCCTCAATGGTCTTGCCCCACCCTATCTCTGTGACCTCCTAACCCCCTACCAACTTGCCAGCTCACTCAGCCGGCTCCAGCCTTCTTCACGTCCCCTGTCCCACCCGCCCCACCATTGGTGGGAGAGCCTTCAGCCACTTTGCCCCCAACCTATGGAACTCCATCCCCCAATCATTCCGCCTCGCCGCCTCCTTAGCCTCCTTCAAGTCCCGCCTCAAAACCCTCCTCTTCGACCATGCCATTGGTCACCCCCGTTCCCCTCCCTTCTCCCCCCTGACCCCAGCTTGGGTCTGAAATGCTACTGTCCAGCGCATTGGGACCTCCTTCCGACGTGAAAGGCGCTATACAAATGTAATCTTGTTGCTTTGTGGCAATCCCTCCTTTGTTTTGCATCACGGAGTCCTGTAGCTCAGTGGTTAGAGCACTCGCTTTGCAAGCGAGAGACCTGAGTTCAATTCCAGGCAGAGGGCGAAACCTTGGGCAAGTTTCCTTACTCCACACAGAGCCTAATAATAATCCCTCCAAAACTAAAAACAATAATAAATTGGTCATTTTCAATCTACGACTGTTTGTGGGACATTGCTGTGCGCAATTGGCTGCTGCGTTCGCCCACAAATATAGTCAATTCACTTTACAGTGTGTTCTGTGAAGCGCTTTGGGACGTCCTCCCGACGTGAAAAGCGCTATATCAAATGCAAGGATTATTATTATTATTATCAGTAACACCTTTTCAACCCATCATCCCCTGTTCTCTACCCCATTTTCTCCTTTGTCTTCCTTGCTCTGCCCTTAAAGCCTCTCCCACCCAACATGCCCCAGTTCTGATGAAGGATCGTGGACCCGAAACATTGATTCACTTTCCTTTCTCCATAAATGCTGCCTGACCTGCTGAGTGTTCCCAGCGACTTCTGTTTTTGTTTCACTTTACAGTGTAGCCTGTGAAGTGCTTTGAGATGTTTCAAAGACGTGATAAGGCACTATATCAAATACAAGGATTATTGTATTAGAGCCTTGATTATGATTATTAATTGTCATGGTCTTTGATTACTCTTTATTCACACATACTTTATATTTATGACAGTTAACAGCCTGGACTTCACCAGGCTTTGAAATTGTCATACAGCTGTGAAATCAATGTGTGAAATCACAGGTGTGTGAAATTCATAACAGGCAACGATAGAATCGCATGGATAAGAATGAAGTAGGTAATTAGCCCATATGATAGGGCTGAAACGCCAGCAATATTTGTAGGGCGAGGGGAGCTGTCAATTGTGGTCACCTTGACTAATCAGAACTGCTCCAGACCAGAAGTAGAAAGTATGCTCAAACAATAATGAGCAGATCCAACAGCACATAATGGCAAGCAGCATCCAACTGTGTTCTGGGCGGAGAGCCGGGGTGAGTGGTACGTCTCGCAAAAGAAAAATGAAGAGAAAACTCCAAAGTTTCATGCTGAATGGTGGTAGATGTTTTGTTAAGTAAATATGGTATACATGTAGAGTATATTTGTGAATATGCGTAAGGTGTTTCCCCCTCAAATTATTGCATGTGGCTAAAATAATGTACGTCCTCGTGATTTTTATTGTTGAGAAACGCAATCTTAATCATAAGTTTTACTGAAGGCCTGCTAAAAAAGGAGAGAAACAAACATTCAGCTTGTTCATTAAACAAGCAACAACTGCATAAGCCATGAAATCCATTTATTCAGTGTAGGAACTAGATACCCTTCTAAATTTCAAAAACAATTATAGTTTGAGAATCTTTTGTTAGACTTTTTTAAGTAGGTGCAGCTCAAGTAAAACTGAAATATTGGAAAAGGGAGGGAATAAAAAAACGCAACCTATTTATCAGTATTACTTTTGTTATCCACCAATACTGGGTGTAGATTTACCTACTTATCTTCTCAGGTAATAATGTGTGAGGACCTACAGATGTTGGAATTTATTTTTTTAAAGAGTTGCTATGTTTAGAGAACAAGAGCTTTTATATCATCTGTCTGAATTAAATTAACTTGATACTTTGATAGGGTTTGGTAGCCTCTTTTATTGTACCTATTACTACATTTCTGTGTTGTGTTTCTCATGTACTTTACAGCAGCTATTTCTTGTCACAAATATTCCTTTTTCTCACCTGAAGGTTGCGATTGACTCCTTTTCGCCCCATTACTAGGAAGCCACTTCCCATGTGCAAGATGACCTTGGGTATTTTATCCAAGTGGACCTTGATTGTTGTCGGTTACATGAACATGGGGAGGGGGCAATCCTGATCCAAATATTGCTCTCAGCTGATATCGTCATAGACACACATTCAAGCAGAAATTATTGGTTAGTGCTAAAAAGCAGGTAACCGTGGATTTTTGTTAAGAATGGGATTCCAAAGTATGAGACCTTGAGAGAGGGAACTGAAGCCTACAAGACTCAAATTATTGAGCATGCAGAATTGAAAATCATCTGATGTTTGCTGAGGATATCAAGCAGGTATTTTTGCTTGATTTTTATAGTTTACAAACAGCCTGAGGTCAATGGTCATTCTTTCTTGTGTATTGGCCAGGATACTAGGGAAAAANTGTTTCTCTTTTTGAATAGGATCTAACTTGGATGGAGTCTGCTAAGAATCATTGAAGGTTGTTTGCGGAAGGGGCATCTTGGCGGATAAAATACCTTTTTGTTTACTCATTCTTATATGATCAGACTATTTCACTCACATTTCTTTGTGATAATCGTAGGGCATACTGGGAATAGTGAATATTATGAAGCTATGGAATGAATTCCCTACCTGAACTCCCCCAATGTAGGCATAATAGACTCAGCCCAATTAAATTATTGAAGTAAAGCAAGAGAAAATTAAATTAATGCTATATTGGAATTTAACAATGTCTGAGAGATAAATGAATACAGAGCCAATGAAATCACATGACAAATTAAACTTTACTTGAGCACAGAGCTTGAGCGACTCACAAAAGCAAGCTAATGAACCAAAACCAGAAATGAGCCTTTTTATATAGAGGGAAAAGCTTGTGAGTCATGGAGAAAAAGACTGAATGGCAATTAAACTTCGATTAGCAAA